CCCCCCCCCTTCCCGACCGCACTACACTTACGAGGTATGGAACGGGCTTACAAAGGGATGAAAGAGATGAGAAGATATAATTATAAGGAAGGCACTATTTCCCTTATAGGGAAAAGGACATGATTATGGAAATAAGTCAGGGTCCTGAATGTCTTAGGCAACCCAGGTTAGACCTATCCAGAATATCGACAGTGGTAAATATTCTGGCTAAATGAGGTTCCTGAATTTTCGGTTGAATGAATCGCTTTCCGAAAATTCAACAACTCCCGTATGTTCTGGAAGCTTTCCCAAGAAATTCCTTACCATTTGTCCCCGTTTTCGAAATTTCCTAAAAGCGCCCCTAGGTTACCCAAATGAAGCGAAATATGAAAAGCAAGACGATCTGCTAATTAACGGACCTTTGTTTAGACTTACTGTGCGTAACATGGCTTCTTCTGGAGGTAGAGTATTTTAACTTTCCAAGCTCGTGTCGAAAATTATGATCTTTTTTAATCGATTCGTTTACATTCTTGGAAATTATAAAAATTCTGAGCCCCACGCCCCCTGCTCTGAAAGCTAGTCAGTTCTCATCCTTGTTATTCACCATGATTAAAGATAAGCGTCGAAGCAAAAGTAACGGCGAGGAATCAAAGCGCGAGTATGTCTGCGTCATTCTTGTTTATTAATCATCCGAGAGACTTGCCCAGGTATGCATCATAAACTTTGATTGCAGTAATCAAAGCCCTAACATATTGTACGAAGTGAAAACCATATTGCTTTGAAACCTCTTTTAAATCTTGCGATTTTTACCGACTAAATTAATGTACATGTAGACATTTCCCCGATATAAAATCGGTCACTCGTGAAAAACTCAGTTTTTTGAGGCTAACTAGGTACAAAGGGACTCCTCTAACCACGGCTGTGATTGTGAAGTGTCCTTGGTTCCTTAGCAAAAGACGATGTATAAAATAAATCATCATCATTTTCATTAATGAAGAAGACTAATAATGTGTCTAAATAGGAGACACATTAAACTTGTGTGTTGACAAAAACCTTCTTGTGGGAGGAACTGTTGGTAGCTTTAATACAAATTTAAGTTCAGCACTGAGATTTCCAATTCAGGCAAGTTGGTCTGCTTTATGTGTACGTCTAGTATTAACGAGAAGAACTATACGACTGAGTCATATAATGTGTCCGTTTAATGCGCCTTTGTTGGGTTCGTCTGACGTTTAATGCGTCGTATTTCCCGTATATACTAAACGCATAATATGTGTGAGACGCATTATTCGTCTTCCAATTTTTTAAATTTAATTTGATCGCATGTATCACGGGTTTCTTGAAAATCGTATATCATTTGTAGTAGTGGTTTGCTTATCGAGAGCACGAGCAGCTTCTTGCGCTCCAGGAAAGCAAGCTACTGCTTTGCTGACAAAAGCTCACATAAAGCTGAACATTAAACCCTTACACAGGGAAGTCCTTTATTTAAGTTTAAAGGGACGTGTCGTTGGATGGCATGTTCCTGTTTTAGTAAATTCTGGAATGCGTACGTTCAACAATAGCTGTCACCGTTAACCCTCTCGTTCTATTTTCATCTCAACGTACGCCTTTTGGTATTTTTCCAGTTTTGTTGTTGTTTGAGATAACAGCCTGAAAACATAACATCTGGCAATGCTTTTACTCTACGCCAGCGGTACATTTACTAAATTGTGTGATGTGGTCATTAAATTCTTCATCAGAGAATCCGTTCTTTACATTTTACGGCTGGAATATATATCTGATGCATGTTCAGAAGCAAACATAAACATTAGGGCTGAAACCATCAATAGTGAATTAAGTCGTTACTGTAATAACTTTAGAGCGTTCCGCTGCTAGTTATCTTTCGACAAAGTTCTTGTCTCTGCTGAAAACTCCACAAAGCTAATTAGTGCATTTCTCATTCCTGTACTTTAATTTTGCTTTCGAATTTAGTTTAAAACACAAGACGTGATAATACTGTCAAGTTAATTTCATCTGGTTTCTCAGTTTGAACTGGCATGTATATCCCAACCGTCTATTTTCAATTAGTCATTATGACCCTTACTTAATATACTCTCTGTTTGACGTTTTGGCTGTTCTCTAATTCTCTCTGAGTGTTCTTTATCCTGTCGCGGAAAAAAGAAAAAGAGATTAGATCAACCAAGTTAGAAATTTAAGAAATTGGTTTAAATGGTCTTCTGAATAGTAATACTCTTTCATGAAACAAAGTTGGGTAGCGCAGAAATAATAATGAAAAAAAAAGTGATATTCATTATCATTTTACACACTTTCCCCATTCATGCCCAAGTAAAGTACCACTTCCAGCTAAAAATAATGGTAAGACGCAACCTCGTTATGTAGAACAAACGGTAAAATATAAACTACTCTTCTTTTATTGTAACTTCTTTTACAGAGTACTCAAAGTCCCTCCGAAAGAAGGAGACAGGAGGTAACTCCGCATGCATGTTGACAGCTAATGCTAGCTAAAGACTAAGTCTGCTGGCGGTTATGTTCTTAGAGGTCTCCTCATGTCTTACCTTGATTAAAATCTTCTTACCAGGTTATAACCTCTGTTTTGAGACATAGCGTCTTATCCACGCCGATTGACATTAAGTTACATTCCATGGCATTAAAAGAAGCGTCTTAAAGGATGAGCACATACCACCTCGAAACCACTTACGAAACAAGTTCAAACCACACAGACGCGAAATACTACTGTTATAAAGTGTTGATCGTTTTAACTCTTCAAGCATGGCACAGTTTGTGCATTTTGCTGTTTTGTTGGTGTTTTGTGGAACAGGGGACTCACTGGAAACCACTACCAGCCCTGAACAACAAAATACCGGCGCTACCAAAGACTTATGTGAGGTAGAAAGTTGAATATTAATTGCCTCTTTCAACGAAAATCAAACCAGTTTAACATGAGACATGAAGATATTTTGTATGCTTTACAGTACTCATTTCTGACAGTTCAGTTTTGATTGAAACATAAAGGCGTAGGTCTCTAGTCCCATATCGAGGCTGATTACTCAAATAGAAAGTTAGACATGCCGATATAAGAATGTTTGCTTCCTAAGTCCTACTAAATTCTCTCATGGAATGTTAACGATGTCCGTGTTGCTCCCAGTTAGAGTCGACCTCACAAACGAACAAACATCATGTAAGAATTAGAGGAACATATTTGACCTGATTAAGAGAGGTGCAGGTTGACACTCAATTAGGGAGTTTAAGAAACCAGGACGCGACGCCGAGAACAACGTCGATTAAAAATGATTTTATATTTTACCTACGAATCTCGCGATACTCTTAAGTTATTTTCCTTTGTTTCCTAGTGTCAAAACCATCACGAAACTGAATCTGGGACAGGGCGAAACATTTGAAATAAAACTAGAAAAATTAGTCGTCGTGGTTCACGTTGTCTGAACAACGCAGAATTTGTTCATTTCACGTTGTTGTTTAGCAGAGGACGGCAAAGTACTGTACCAAGAATTATAACGCACGTGCACAGCCATTGTTCTGCTCATTAAGACTTTTATTTAGCGACGTTGCCGTTCCAGTCGTGGTTTTTGTTAAACTCCCTATGTCTCACAGAGATATCACGAGCGTGACCGTTGTCTCTAAATTGAGGGGACTTGTTCTTGTCAAAGCAGACCTAGAAGGCCACAATTCAAATGACAGACACGCTGACACTGTTATAACAAGTGACTGCTACCGCTGAAGCAGTAAGAGACAAAATTGCAGATTGTGTCTCACGCTGCAATATATATGGACATATATAAGAAACATTTCGTTCTCGTGTTGTTTAAGTTTATCTGCTGCTCTAAAGGGGTTCTTTTGAACAAGAACTGTGCGTGTTTTGCGTTCTTCTCAGAAATAACTCATAGGCTTTTCTCCAAAGAAATATTTGTGTCGCTCCCAGTACGAATCGGCTTCACAAACGAACAAACATCATTGTTATGTAGGAATTAGGGTAACATATTTGACCTGATTAAGAATTGGATATCAAAAACGTGACTATTGTCTCTAAATTGACAGGATTTTTTCCTGTCAAAGCAGACCCACAAGGTCACAAGTCTAATGATAGACCTGCTGTTAAAACAAGTCACTGATATCGCTAAAGCAGTAAGAGACAAAAAGGAAGGTTTTTTTTCCATGTCACGATATCTATCGACATAAGAAACATTTTGGTCTCGTTTTGCTTAAGTTTCACACTGGGTTCCTTGGTCCAATGGATGCATTTGTTGCTTTCTTCTTAGAAATCCATATCTACCCATGGATTTCCGGGTATTCCAGGATCCAACGGAATGCCGGGAATGCCTGGCATTCCTGGTCCGCAAGGACCGCAGGGAAGAGATGGAGTTAAAGGGCAGACTGGTGGCAAGGGATCACAATGGAATGCTGGGATAGAAGGGAGCGAAAGGAAATTAAGGGCCTCGTGGAAATAGCGGACCGCCAGGAATTATGGGAATAAAAGGAGCGCGTGGAACTGTGGGCGATCAAGGAATAAAAGGCGATAAGGGAGAGAAAGGAGAAAGCGTGACAAGTCCTTCTAGTGCAGTGCCACAAACCAACTGGAAACAATGTGTGTGGAAAAATCTGAATGATGATCGAGATAGCGGTAAGATCAAGGTAAGAGAGAAATGTTCTAATTGCCAATGGTTCTGGGTAAAATGAATTACTTTTTTCTCCTAATATAAGTTAAAATTCAGATTCAGAATTCGACAAGGATTTATGTGAGAGAGAATAAGAATCTTATCATCCAAAGTCTGAGTACATATGTTGTTATCAACAGAAATATTTTGTCAGCTGGTTTCATATCATGGTGACGAAACTGATATTACATCTTTAAGATAATGAGAAGTGGAATTTGACCTGCGCACTGGAGTACTGAGCATCCATTCTCATTGATTCTCATATCATTACTCAGCAAGACAGATCGTCCATTCAACTCTTTTTTCGGGCTCAGAACTCAAATATCATTTTCTGTGTGAATTCAGCGGGGCAAAGTTCTTCATTATTAAATTTTGTTGGCCCCTTCTCTTATTTAGTTGGGTGGGGAGTGAGCACTAGGTATTATTAGACGGTGTTGTTTGGAAGGAAGGAGAAGGGGATTTGATTGTTTCAGGGTATGCCGTCTACTCGTTGTGTAAAATATAACACCATAATGATATAGCGACGGTGGTCCTGCTGTTGACATTTCAATGTAACAGAAAATACTTCACTGATAACCGAACGCTTTTTGAGAGGCCAGTACGATCAAAAACTCACCCAGATTGACTCAATTCTCTAGATCTATGGGTATCTCCTTACACTGTGATTGACACTTTCTCTCGTGAAGCCAACAACTTATGACCTGTGTTCAGTTATAATCCCAGTTAATGATACAAATACAAACAATGAGATATACGTTATTGCTATGAAGACTGACTTGTTTTACTTTCTTTTGTTCCAGAACTGCTCGTTTAATAAGTTGCAGTCTGATACTGCGATCAAAGTCTCATTCCAGGGAAATATGAGAGTCCAGCGCACTCCTAGGTGTAACCGGTGGTTCTTCAAGTTTAATGGTAATGAATGCAGTGGACCGATGACAATCGAAGCTGCTGTGTACAATTACTGGCCATCTGGGAATCCCAATCTGCTTCATCATCGATCATTTGAGGGATACTGTGAAAACATCCCGCAGGGCACAGTTAGAGTGGAATTATGGGTAGGACAGTGTCCAGGCAATACTTTGGGTGTCGCTTACACTGGATGGACATCAGTGTCCCGGATAATGATTGAGGAAGTGTCCAGGCCCCAGTCCTGATTAATCGGTTTTTGTCATGGAGATCATTGCTGCTTTAGTTACAATCGAGAACTGACACTGTTGTGTGCTATTAGTGAAACTTGTTTAGCTGCAGGAATAGTTAAAAGTAATGATGATAGAAAATTCACCAAGCTTCATTTCCAGTTTGCACTTTAATTAATTAGTTAATGACGCGAAACTAATTTTTTTTAGGTGGTGCTGGCATTTAAGGCCAAGAGAAAATTCTAAATAAAGATACTCCTTTAGCAATAAGTTTGCCAGTTAAATCCATGTTCTAACAAAACTGATTTTGCTCGGTATGATGGTTACTCTACAGGTTACAGGTTTATTGCACCGATGTCTCGCGGTTGTTTTTTGTTCAGTTCTCAATGTACCATGTAAATTTATTGGTGCTGTATTATTATAGTCATTTATTGACACGGCTTGGAAAGTGTTATAAAAATATAAGTGTAGAGCGTTGCCAATGTCTTGTCGGTGAAACTTCGTAACGTTTTGTACTGAGTCTATAGAAATAGAATTGAAGAGAAATATGCGCTTGAAACTGGAAACGTTTTGACCTATATTTTTAAGAATC